ACCCAGTACAGCTACCGCCTTCTCCTGGCTACTCCATGCCTCAAACATCTCCCTGTGGGTGGGGGGGGGTACTCATAGTCGTGCATGCCGTAGTCGTTAGACCATTGACCTCGCATCCCTACAAAGCCGGGACGGAGCATGCCGGGTTCTCACCGGACCAGGCTCTCGCATCACCAAGCGCGAAGCGCCGTGAGGTATTCGGCGAGTGGCATGAAGGGTGCGCTGCATCCTGCTAAGGGTGTTCGGCATCTTGTGCTTACTTCCTTGCGTGGCTGATTGGTTCTGTCCAGAAGAAGAATAACAGTTTTCACGACAGCGTAGAACGAGAGATCACGCGGGGTAAACAACTTTGACATGGACACCGTTGTTCAGCAGGCGTTCCAGCTACCGTGGCTGATTGGTTCTGTCCAGACAAAGAAAAAAATGTTTTCCCACGGGAGGGTAGAACGACATAACGTGGGGTATATAGCCTCTTTTCGTGGACACGCCGTTTTTCTTGCAGGCTTTGAAGCTGCCGTGGCTGATTGGTTCAGGCCGGACAAATAAGACCAAGAATATTTTTCACGACAGCGTAGAACGAGATAAATTGGGGTAAACAGTCTCCCTTCGTGGACACAGTTACATGTCCTGCAGCCGTTAAAACTGCCACAATAGCGTGGGGTAGACAAAACTCAACATGGGCACCGTTTTTTTTCCTGCAGGCGTTGAAACTACCGTGGCTGCACGTCCTCGACGACGAGGCAGCGGAGTCCACCGCCGTGGAAGGGGAGCCAGGGGACGCAACCACCACCACCGCTACCGCCGCCGCAGCAGCAGCAGCAGCAAGGATGGACAAGCCCCTCCAGCTCAGCAGCAGGCTCCGGAGGTTCACGGGCATGAGCAACCTCAAACGGGCGGCTCTCAACGTCATCGCGAATCAGCTCACGGAGGCCGACATAGGTGTGTGTGTGTGTTTTTTTTTTATTGTTATTGGCATCGGCCGACCGCGCTGACCAATGGAAGGACCGTCAGTCTCCGTGCGGTTCAATACACGAAATGCTTCTGCAGGGCGTGATCTGGGACCCCGTGAGGGGGCGTCATGGTTTGTGTGTGTGTTTTTTATTATTATCAGCGTCGACCAACCGCGCTGACCAACGTAAAGACGTCAATCTCAGTGCGGTTGAAACACAAAATGCTCCGGAAGGCCATGATGCTGGGACCCCGTGAGGGGGCGTCACTGTAAAGGCTGTGGTGCGTCTGTGTAAACGTGTGTTACGTTGTTCACCTTTTTCGCCTTTTTCGCTCTCTTTCCTGAAAGGAGGTTATTTAGATGGAGTTGGGGGGGGGGGGGGGGG